AAGAAATCCTTAGGTAACTCTCTGCACCTTAAAAAACAAAAAACAAATTTATTGTCAATTTAAATACATTGGTAAATTACCAGTATTTCTGGGTCTTCTTGTTTTGTGCTCCTCTGTTGTAGGCTGTTTATAATAAATCTCTGGGGGAGTCAACAAGCTGGGATAAATTCATTCCTTCCCTGTCTGCTGCCAAGAAAAGGAGGCAGTTAGGTGCTTTCTGCAAGTGGAAATGAACACTGCTCATCTTCTCCCTTGAGTATTGAAAGAGAAGGTATCACTTTCAGTACTTCTCCCCTGAGTGTTGAAGTAATGATACCTTTACTCCTGAGTATTGAAAACTAAAATGTTGAGTTGGCCAAAAAATTCATTTGGGTTAGATAGAGATCTCTTCAAGAAAATTAGAGATACCAAGGGAACATTTCATGCAAAGATGGGTTCGATAAAGGACAGAAATGGTATGGACCTAACAGAAGCAGAAGGTATTAAGAAGAGGTGGCAAGAATACACAGAAGAACTGTACAAAAAAGATCTTCATGACCCAGATAATCACAATGGTGTGATCACTCATCTAGAGCCAGACATCCTGCAATGTGAAGTCGGCCTTAGAAAGCATTACTACGAACAAAGCTAGTGGAGGTGATGAAATTCCAGTTGAGCTATTTCAAATCCTAAAAGATGATGCTGTGAAAGTGCTGCACTCAATATGCCAGCAAATTTGGAAAACTCAGCAGTGGCCACAGGACTGGAAAAGGTCAGTTTTCACTCCAATCCCAAAGAAAGGCAAACCCAAAGAATGCTCAAACTACCTCACAATTGCACTCATCTCACACGCTAGTAAAGTAATGCTCAAAATTCTCCAAGCCAAGCTTTAGCAATACATGAACCGTGAACTTCCAGATGTTCAAGCTAGATTTAGAAAAGGCAGAGGAACCAGAAATCAAATTGTCAACATCCGCTGGATCATTGAAAAAGCAAGAGAGTTCCAGAAAAACATCTATTTCTGCTTTATTGACTATGGCAAAGCCTTTGATTGTGTGGATCACAATAAACTGTGGAAAATTCTGAAAGAGATGGGCAAACCAGACCACCTGATCTGCCTCTTGAGAAACCTATGTGCAGGTCAGGAAGCAACAGTTAGAACTGGACATGAAACAATAGACTGGTTCCAAATAGGAAAAGGAGTATGTCAAGGCTGTATATTGTCACCCTGCTTATTTAACTTATATGCAGAGTACATCATGAGAAATGCTGGGCTGGAAGAAGCACAAGCTGGAATCAAGATTGTGGGGAGAAATATCAATAACCTCAGATATGCAGATGACACCACCCTTATGGCAGAAAGTGAAGAAGAACTAAAGAGCCTCTTGATGAAAGTGAGAGAGGAGAGTGAAAAAGTTGGCTTAAGTCTCAACATTCAGAGAACTAAGATCATGGCATCTGGTCCCACTACTTCATGGCAAATAGATGGGGAAACAGTGGAAAGAGTGGCTTGCTTTATTTTGGGTGGCTCCAAAATCACTGCAGATGGTGATTGTAGCCATGAAATTAAAAGACGCTTACTCCTTGGAAGGAAAGTTATGACCAACCTAGATAACATATTAAAAAGCAGAGACATGACTTTGCCAACAAAGTTCCGTCTAGTCAAGGCTATGCTTTTTCCAGTGGTCATGTATGAATGTGAGCGTTGGACTGTGAAGAAAGCTGAGCACCGAAAAATTGATGCTTTTGAAGTGTGGTGTTGGAGAAGACTCTTGAGAGTCCCTTGGACTGCAAGGAGATCCAACCAGTCCATCCTAAAGGAGATCAGCCCTGGCTGTTCATTGGAAGGACTGACACTGAAGCTGAAACTCCAATACTTTGGCCACCTGATGGGAAGAGTTGACTCATTGGAAAAGACCCTGATGTTGGGAGGGATTGGGGGCAGGAGGAGAAGGGGATCACAGAGGATGAGATGGCTGGATGGCATCACCGACTCGATGGTCATGAGTTTGAGTAAATTCCGGGAGTTGGTGATGGGCAGGGAGGCCTGGTGTGCTGCGATTCACGGGGTCGCAAAGAGTCAGACATGACTGAGCGACTGAAGTGAACTTAACTGATACGATGTTATGGAAAAACCAGGATGAACTTTTTGGCCAACCCAGTATGAATGAGGTAAGTTTTTTGAAATATTCATTAAGTATTTATTAAATACTGTCTTTGTACCAGATAATTCTGCTAATTACCAGATATAAAAAGCTAGAAACAATATTTATTGTTGCCCCCAAAGAGGATTGTGTAGTGTAAATAGTACATATTCACAGTGCAGTGTGTTTAGTCTTATAAGCAGAAATAGGATGCCCTGGGGACAGCTAACTCAAATACTTTGTCCACTTGATGCAAAGAGTTGACTCATTTGAAAAGACCCTTATGCTGGGAAGATTGAGGGCAGGAGGAGAAGGGTATGACAGAGGATGAGATGGTTGGATGTCATCACTGACTCAATGGACGTGGGTTTGGGTGGACTCCGGGAGTTGGTGATGGACAGGGAGGCCTAGCAAGCTGCAGTTCATGGGGTCGCAAAGAGTCGGACACGAGTAAGTGACTGAACTGAACTGAACTGAGTGAAGGAAGTAAAAAGTCTGATCCTGGATGATAAATGTCCTTTGCTTATGCAGGCAAGGGGATAAAGGACATCATAAACAGAGGACAGCTTGTGTAGAAGTCATGGGGTTATGAAAAGTAAGAAATTTGGAGATGCAGGTAGCTTGGTTTTGTGTAGCTTAATTATGGTATCAATAGAAACTACTTCCCTATAGCTCGGATGGTAAAGAATCTGCCTGTAATGCTGGAGACCTGGGTTCAATCGCTGGGTCAGGAAGATCTCCTGGAGAAGGAAATAGCAATCCACTCCAGTATTCTTGCCTGGAGAATTCCATATACAGAGGAGGCTGGTGGGCTACAGTCCATGGGGTCACAAAGAGTCGGACAAGACTAAGTGACTAACACATATACACATGGTACTAATAGCAAAACGAGCGGTTGGGCCTGAAATGAAGGTCAGTAGTTCACAGCAGTAATTGCTATATGTTAGGCAGAGAGTTTTGGAGAAGCCAATGGCACCCCACTCCAGTACTCTTGCCTGGAAATTCCCATGGATGGAGGAGCCTGGTAGGCTGTGGTCCGTGGGGTCGCTAAGAGTCGGATACGACTGAGTGACTTCACTTTCACTTTTCACTTTCACGCATTGGAGAAGGAAATGGCAACCCACTCCAGTGTTCTTGCCTGGAGAATCCCAGGGATGGGGGAGCCTGGTGGGCTGCCGTCTATGGGGTTGCAGAGTCGGACACGACTGAACTGACTTAGCAGCAGCAGCAGCAGCCAGAGAGTTTAGAAGACTGCTCCATACCATAGGTGATTCTTGAATCTGTGCCAGCTAGCACTTTACATATAATAAATTAGTTATTAAAATTAGTATTGAGTAAATTATGCTAAATTTCTGAAGCTTACTGTGCATTTCCAGATGATAGCATAGTCATATTATTTTGTGTTAATAATACCATCTTCACAATTCATGAACCTGATCAGTTAACAAGTTGCCCTCCTAATGCATTAGCTCTATAAAGTCAGTTTTACTGAGATGTAATTTACTTACAATACCAATTTTACACGTATAGTTCACTGAGTTTGACAAATGTATACAATCACATGTCCACCATTCCTCTAATAAATTCAGTTCCTTTCAGTCACAGTCATGTCTGACTTTTTGTGACCCCATGGACTGCAGCACATCAGGCCTCCCTGTCCATCACCAGTTCCTGGAGCTTGCTCAAACTCATGTCCATAGAGTCGGTGATGCCATCCAACCATCTCATCCTCTGTCGTCCCCTTCTCCTGCCTTCAACCTTTCCAAGCATTAGGGTCTTTTCTGAGGAGTCATTTCTTTGCATCAGTTGGTCAAATCTAATCATGATGTAGTATATCTTCATTACCCTCCTTTAGCTTTTGGGTTTTTTTAAAAAATATTTTTAAATATTTATTTGGCTGTGCAGGATCTTAGTTGCAACATGTGGGATCTAGTTCCCTGACCAGGGATCAAATCCAAGCCCCCCTACACTAAGAACACAGAGCCTTAACCACTGGACTACTAGGGAAGTCCCTCCATTAGCTTTTTTAAAAAAATCCTTCCATTAGTGTTTAATTAGAATTTATTAAACTAAATAAAAAATAAACTCTTTGAACCCTGAGGAACATAATATCTGAATAAAGAATTTTTTAAAATCTACTTTTAAACTATGGAAATAATTTTTTCTGTAAAATAAAGAGATATTCTGTATAAGTACTGCTTTTAAGAGGTTTTATCTCTTGAAATCTTCAGAAGGAGGAAGGAAGAAGCAAAGCAACTTTGCTTTGTGAGTGGTGTAATGTTACATAAAGATGTTTGGAGGTGGAAGAACAACTACCAAGAAAACAAAACCATAATTTTAAATACTGAGCTAGTAACTTCAGACTGGAGTTCTCACTAACAGCTCTGATACTAAATAGCAGAGTTGTAGAAGTCCAAGCTGTTATTATACAGAATTTTAGAGTTTTGTGAGGTATGGATAAGAGTTATACGTTGGGCACAGGAGATTTAGGAGTAAAGACTGGCTCAAATTTAAACTAGGGGAATAGTTGTACTTAGGTTTGATACTGGCATACAGGGGAGAAAGTGCAACCCTCCCACCCTCATTTATATAATATTTCCATATACTCAAATGACTTTTTTATTGGTTATTGCTATAGCATTGGAGATTAGGACACTTTCAAGACGATTTTATGTGATTTTGCCTTTTTTGCTGTGATTCAATATGGATAGGAATAAGTTTCTCCAAGGGAATGAATATTGCTGTTAAACCAACAAAATTATTTTCTTACCCAGAAGTTATTATATTTAAGAATAAAATATGTGTTTAAAAACGAGAGGTATAGAGGTTTATGTTTAACCGATTATTTTATCCATGTTATTTGTTTGTTTTAACCAGTTACCCATGGGTGTATTGTTTCCACAATAAAACTTTTTCTACCCGATGGAATGGAAGCCCGGCTCCGCTCAGAGTGAGTATAATTTATGCTATGAAATTTCTGTATTAATTACATTGATTAATAATATTCCAGATGATATTGTACAGTTAATACTTCAGAATTATTCTAATAATGTTAGAAAATTGATGTAGTGCTTTTGGAATATAATATACTTCTGTTTAATATAATTCAGTTTCACATTGGTTATAATTCTAGTAAATAATGTATAAGAGAGCACAGTTATTTTGTTTCCAAAATTAACTTTACAATGTATATTTTGATGAATTTTTAGACTATTTAGAGTATGCCAGTTATTAATGAATGATAATTGTATTCATTTTAATCTGCATGTCATATGACTTCTTAAACTATGATTGCCTGTGAAGTTAATGCCAGTATCATAATCTTACAGGACTTTGGGCATGTTGACACAGTAGTCTATATTGGTGGGAGTTTTTGGAGGGATTTTCCAATTCTGTATTTTTTTTTTCTTGTTTTAAATGAAGCAGTGGAAAGGTCACTTAGAGGAAGACAAACTTGAGAGGGAAATTTTGCTCACAAATACAGAGGTTAAAAGATAAACATACATACATTTTGATCTTGTACTTTTCACAGATTATTGTTAAGTGTTAGAGGGACTTAAATAGTCTTTAGACTTAAGCATTTTTTAATTTTGAGGGGAAAACCTTGAATATGCTACAGGCTTATTTCTATCCTCAACAAAGTATTTTCTGTCCTACAAAAGCAGAAATGAAATATCTAAGGGTGGGAGGTTGAGAGCAATAGGGCTGTGAAGGTACAGTAGAGTGCTGAGTAGGAGAGAGAGGAGAAAGGAAGCAAAGAGAAGTCCTCCTGTTACTGTGATAGTGCTTTCATTAGGATTCTTGTATGTTATGCTTCAGTTAGAGACTACCATTTTTTTGTTTTTAACCTTTTAGGTATCTGAAGAAAACAAATTTTAAAACATTTTAAATTTAAAACATTAATCTGTTTCCTATTCTAAATTATAGTTTAATTATTAAAATATAATTAACTTTGGGAGCATTTAATGTGACTTAGTTTTTAATATGACTTAGTCAAGAGTTAAGGTTTTAAAAAAAAGAGTAACTGTTAATTGACTAATAACTTCTTAAGAATGGCTTCTTAAAGACCTTGATGTTTGGATTTAATGAGATTTTTCTTTCATGGATTCAGAAGCTTTGAGCAGCTTTTTAAAGGGTCATCTTTGTTCTCAGTTTCCATCCAGTAGGGCATGTGAATTTTTTCAAAGTCTGTGCTAGAATTGTGTTCCTGATTCTCTTGTTTCCCCAGTGCTTGTCATCTTTGTTGCTGTTGCTTTGTCTTTGTTTGGTTTTTCTTATGTGGTTAAATGTTTGCATCATTTAAAATTTTACTACCAGTTTCATTGTACATAATCTAGCTGACTTTCTGAAGATGAATTTTTGAATAGACAATTCTCTAGAGTTGCAGGAAGGTCAGAATGGCCTTTAGAAGTAAACAGTCCGGTTCAAAGCCCAGCTCCACCTATTCTGTGACTTGATCAGGCCTTCCTTTTCTCATTTGAAAAATGAAGTTAATAATGGCACCTATTGAACAGAAATTTTCTGAGGAGGAATAAGCAAGATTGTACACTTAAAGCATTTGGTGTAATACCTGATTCAGAATGAGCACACAGTGAATAGTGTTTCTGTTATTGTAATCTAGTATTTTTTTAGCAATCAAGATGCTTTTAAGTACGCCAGATTGTTTGGAGTTTAAGATACATTATGTACATAGCATGTAATATGTTTTTCAGGTTTTTCAGTGGATATATTATTTTCAAAAAGCTGATTCTTTTTTCTTCTTTGACTTTTATTATATTTCACAAATAATTTTCCAATAATAAGAATCAGAGAAATTGCCTATAATCCCACCACCTTGACACTAAATAATAGTTTTTCTTTTCTACAATTCCTTGTTGCATATCAACTTTTTCCATAATTCAAATGAAATATATCTGTCCACAATAGTTTTTGTCGAGTACAAAATATATCTTATGGAATGTTTTGCTAGATTTTTAGAATTCTGTTTATTAACGAGATTTTCATGAGAACAGAAAATATTGTTCTTGGGTCACTAAGAAAACTGTATTTAAAAAAAAAACCCTCCATTAATACCATTTGCATCTGTTTAGACTTTAAAGTTCATTTCCTTGTATGTGTATATCTACAAAGAAAAGGATACATACCCAAAATAGCTATATCCAGGTACTGGCATTGGGTTCAATCACATCATTTAGTTCAGTCACTCAGTCGTGTCCAACTCCTTGCGACCCCATGAACTGCAGCACACCAGGCTTCCCTGTCCATCACCAACTCCTGGAGCCTACCCAAACTCACGTCCATTGAGTCGGCGATGCCATCCAACCATCTCATCCTCTATCATCCCCTTCTCTTCCTGCCCTCAATCTTTCCCAGTATCAGGGTCTTTTCCAGTGAGTCAGCTCTTCGCATCAGGTGGCCAAAGTATTGGAGTTTCAGCTTCAACATTAGTCCTTACAATAACACCCAGAACTGATCTCCTTTAGGATGGACTGGTTGGATCTCCTTGCAGTCCAAGGTACTTTCAAGAGTCTTTTCCAACACCACAGTTCAAAAGCATCAATTCTTCGGCACTCAGCTTTCTTTATAGTCCAACTCTCACATCCATACATGACTACTGGAAAAACCATAGCCTTGACTAGACGGAACTTTGTTGGCAAAGTCATGTCTCTGCTTTTTAATATGCCGTCTAGGTTGGTCATAACTTTTGTATAGGTTGGTCATAAGCGTCTTTTAATTGCATGGCTGCAGTCACCATCTGCAGTGATTTTGGAGCCACCCAAAATAAAGTCAGCCACTCTTTCCACTGTTTCCCCATCTATTTGCCATGAAGTGATGGGACCAGATGCCATGATCTTAGTTTTCTGAATGTTGAGTCTTAAGTCAACTTTTTCACTCTCATCTTTCACTTTCATCAAGAGGCTCTTTAGTTCTTCTTCACTTTCTGCCATAAGGGTGGTGTCATCTGCATATCTGAGGTTATTGATATTTCTCCCCACAATCTTGATTCCAGCTTGTGCTTCTTCCAGCCCAGCATTTCTCATGATGTACTCTGCATGTAAGTTAAATAAGCAGGGTGACAATATACAGCCTTGACATATCCTTTTCCTATTTGGAACCAGTCTGTTGTACCATTTCCAGTTCTAACTGTTGCTTCCTGACCTGCATACAGGTTTCTCAAGAGGCAGATCAGGTGGTCTGGTATTCCCATCTTTTTCAGAATTTTCCACAGTTTATTGTGATCCACACAATCAAAGACTTTGGCATAGTCAATAAAGCAGAAATAGATGTTTTTCTGGAATTCTCTTGCTTTTTCAATGATCCAGCGGATATTGACAATTTGATTTTTGGTTCCTCTGCCTTTTCTAAAACCAGCTTGAATATTTGGAAGTTCACAGTTCATGTATTGCTAAAGCCTGGCTTGGAGAATTTGGAGCATTACTTTACTAGCGTGTGAGATGAGTACAATTGTGTGGTAGTTTGAGCATTCTTTGGCATTTCCTTTCTTTGGGATTGGAGTGAAAACTGACCTTTTCCAGTCCTGTGGCCAGTGCTGAGTTTTCCAAATTTGCTGGCATATTGAGTGCAGCACTTTCACAGCATCATCTTTTAGGATTTGAAATAGCTCAACTGGAATTCCATCACCTCCACTAGCTTTGTTCGTAGTGATGCTTTCTAAGGCCGACTTCACATTGCAGGATGTCTGGCTCTAGCTGAGTGATCACACCATAGTGATTATCTGGGTCATGAAGATCTTTTTTGTACAGTTCTTCTATGTATTCTTGCCACTTCTTCTTAATACCTTCTGCTTCTGTTAGGTCCATACCATATCTGTACTTTATTATGCCCATCTTTGCATGAAATGTTCCCCTGGTATCTGATTTTCTTGAAGAGATCTCTAGTCTTTCTCATTCTGTTTTTTTTCCTTTATTTCTTTGCATTGATCACTGAGGAAGGCTTTCTTATCTCTCCTTGCAATTCTTTGGAACTCTGCATTCAGATGGGTATATCTTTCCTTTTTCCTTGATTTTTGCTTCTCTTCTTTTCACAGCTATTTGTAAGGCGTTCTCAGACAACCATTTTGCTTTTTTTCATTTCTTTTTCTTGGGGATGGTCTTGATCCCTGTGTCCTGTACAGTGTCACGAACCTCTGTCCATAGTTCATCAGGCACGCTGTCTATCAGATCTAGATCCTTAAATCTATTTCTCACTTCTACTGTATAATCGTCAAGGATTTGATTTAGGTCATACCTGAATGCTTCAGTGGTTTTCCCTACTTTCTTCAATTTCAGTCTGAATTTGGCAATAGGAAGTTCCTGGTCTGAGCCACAGTCAGCTCCTTATCTTGTTTTTGCTGACTGTATAGAGTTTCTCCATCTTTGGCTTCAAAGAATATAATCAATCTGATTTCGGTGTTGACCATCTGGTGATGTCCATGTGTAGAATCTTCTCTTGTGTTGTTGGAAGAGGGTGTTTGCTATGACCTTGGCATAAGAGCTCTTGGCAAATAGAGCTCTTGGCAGAACTCTATTAGCCTTTGCCCTGCTTCATTCTGTACTCCAAGGCCAACAATTTTCCTGTTACTCCAGAGGTTTCTTGACTTCCTGCTTTTGCGTTCCAGTCCCCTATAATGAGAAGGACATCTTTTTTGAGTGTTAGTTCTAAAAGGTCTTGTAGGTCTTCATAGAACCGTTCAACTTCAGCTTCTTCAGTGTTACTGGTCGGGGCATAGACTTGGATTACCGTGATATTGAATGGTTTGCCTTGGAAATGAACAGAGATCATTCTGTTGTTTTTGAGATTGCATCCAAGTACTGCATTTCGGACTCTTTTGTTGACTATGATGGCTACTCCATTTCTTCTAAGGGATTCTTGCCCACAGTAATAGATATAATGGTCATCTGAGTTAAATTCACCCATTCCAGTCCATTTTAGTTCGCTGATTCCTAGAGTGTTGGCATTCACTCTTGCCATCTCCTGTTTGACCACTTCCAATCTGCCTTGAATCATGGACCTGATATTCCAGGTTCCTATGCCAATTGCTCTTTATAGCGTCGGACCTTGCTCCTGTCACCAGTCACATCCACAACTGGATGTTGTTTTTGCTTTGGCATTGGGTAATTTTTATTTATTTCTTCATGCTTTACTTTACATGTTTTCTATAGTCAATATGTATTACTTGTATAAAATCAAGAAAAAGAAACTAACATTTAAAACATTCTGTTCCATTTTTATGGGGCAGAGAAGAAAAACTAAAATTGTATATACCTTTTTAAACCTTCAGTAGGCACCACATTTGTTAGGGCCTTGTATGGTTTCTAGAGGTGCAGAGGTGAATTGTTCAGAGTGCCTGAGAACACAGAGGAGCAGAGCAGGGGATTACTGTGTTCTTGGTGGGAGTCTGTACAGCATACTGTGGGGGCTCAGAAGGGAGGTTGGTGATAGTACCCAATATTACATTTTATTCAGCATCTTAGTGTCCTGTGACTAATTGAATTGAAATTGTTCTTAGAGGTTTGTAGTTACTACAGTGAAATCAGAATTGCCATTCCTATTTTTAAGTCCTGCAAGATCAGTTCATCAGCAACTTACCTGATGAACCTAAAAACTTTACCTAATGAACCATTAGGCTGACTGTGACTCGATCAGCCTCTTGGATATGGAATGAGGAACAACTGCTAGGGGGCCTGAGTGGCAGCCTTGGTTTGTGCTCCATCTGCTCTCAGCCCCCCACCCCCACGACCCCCTTCCACACACACACTCACATTACAGTATCTTACAGAGCATTTTAAGGAACCCTGGCTTCCATAGCTTATCTGTTCTCATGGGAGTGGTAGTGGTGATCAAGTGCTACTATGTCTAATTATAAGGTACTGTTAAATCAAGGTACTGTTCTAAGCTTTTTATTTATATTAGCACATTAAAATACTCAGCAGTAATCCTATGTGGTTAGTTTTATGATAATCCCCGTTTTTACGGATGAGGAAGCTGAGACCTATAGTGGCTAGATAACTTGCTCAAGATTATACACCTGGTTAAGTAGAGCCAAAGTTTGAACCCAGCCAGTATGGCTTTTGAGCCCCATGCTTAACTTCTCTACTACACTGCCTCTTTTATACAAGGCCAAAAAGGGCGATTAGCACCAAGTGATAGTGTGTCAGTGTTTAATTTCAAAGTGGTATACTGAGTTTAGCCTCGTAACTACATAGAAACTTGTAAGTATGTGAGGTGGCTGAGAAGAGAAGAATAGTACTTGCGTTTTGATTGCTCAAGTTGTACTCCACTAGAACATATTTCCAAATTCAAACCTTCTTTACAGTAGAGCTTTGCTTTTTAAGACTTTCTCTGTAGGACTACTTAATTTTAAAAGAACTTAATTTACATGTTACAAAATTTTAAATGGATAGTTAAAAAAAAAAAAAAGGATAGTTTAAGGAGTGCTTCTTTTCTGTTTAGTTCTTATAACCAAAGAATTCATCATAGCCCTCAATAGTAGATCCAGCAAGGGCATTTAATGTATGTTGGATTTTGAATTTGTGTTTAGAAATATATTGATGTGTAAAAGGTAGGTTTGTGTATTTATTACCTTATTTTCCAACAATTCTGTATATTTATGAAGGATTACAAATAATTTACATTCTTTTAATGAAAGAAAGTGTAAAAACTTTGGGGTTTAAAATATGCTCATACTGTCATACTCTTTTCCTCTGTTGTCAGGAAGTTAGATAAAAATTCTAAATTTTACTTTTCAGTGTCATCCATGCTCCATTACCAAGTCCTGTTGACAAAGTAAGTTGCTAATGATTATTTTTTTCGAAACTGATTCAGCTGTATTGCTTTTGAAAATGTTTTTGTTTGTTTTAAATATGCTTTACCTAGAAACTTAATTCTCTTTTGTAACAAAATGTAAGAGTGCATTTGGCTGTAGTTATTCTAGTCTGATCTTCAGTAACTAGAGAATGTACGATGGATGTTTCTTAGGGAAAAAGCCTTTGTTATCTCAGTTAGTGGCTGACTCTAAACTAGAGTTAGCCATAGAGAAGAAGTGTTAGTTACTACTTTTTATTCTGAAATACATTTCTGCCTAGAAATATTTGTTAAAGCTTTGTGTTTAAATAATTTACTCAAAATGTACTTACATGTGGAAATAAAACAGAAGTACAGGCTTACATAAATTGCTCTTTTCTTGTCCTTGAAGATGGATTTACTTGATTTGGACAGAAGCTTTGCATTAATTAATTATAGGAAAAGATTTTTTTCTTTTGTTTAGAAATAACAGTGTATTAAACTGTAAATATTCTTGCTAAATAGCAAAAAAAAAAAAAGTCATTTGTATCTTTTGGCATTAAAGTAGAGCTATTGGGAGAAATATTTTCCTTTTTTTTTTTTTCTTTCCATTTGGATAAAGAATGAAAGCCTACCTGAAACTGAAGTTATCTGTTAGATTCCTTTTTTAGAAGTTAGCATGGTTAATCATCAACTTCATCAGTGCCAAGAATCGTTTTAGAAGTAAATAGTGGCCCTGCTTCTTTAGGACTAACTTTAAAAAAATAATAATGTCACCTTTTGTCTTCTAGTTAGAATATTAATTTAAAAAATAGACTTTCTGAGCTTAATAAGGAATGCTGTTGTTAACATCACTAGTAAGTTAATATACAAGGCTTGGATAGCATTGAAAATGTTATAGCAACCTGTTAGTGCCTTTTTCTTTTTTTTAATAATGCTGTGGTTCTGTATTCCACACCCAGGAGAAACCCTTTATAGAGGTTATTTCTCCCCATACTCTTGGATTCTAAGCATTTCTGCTGTGACTTATAATGTTTGAACACCATTATTTCCCATCTTTTTCTTCTTAAAACCTACCTATCATTAAAAGGAAAAAAAAAAAGATAAACCATTTTCCATTGCCTCTGGCCGTTGGACAAAGTATTGTATTTCGTGTCCTGCTTCCTCCCCCATACCCCCCACATACAAATATCATTTTGAAGATGGCTGATTCTAAGTGAATTATAACTTGTTAACATATGAAGAACTATTTAACAGTGTATTTTAAAGGAAAAAATGTAGATCTTTTGATTTTGCAGGTTATTATTTCTGGGTAAAGAAAAGGCTATATTGCCTTTGTGCTGTAAGTTTGTGATTTGGTTTATCAAAGAATGTTTTCATGGAAGCACTTGTCATACCATCCTGGTTGTAAATCTCAAACTGATCACTATAATACAATACCATCTATAGGTTCTAGACACAGAGCAGACATATTTTGAAAACTAAAGGAAATCAATTTGAAAAATCAAATTGGAAAAATAATTACTTATTTTGCATGTTTCAGTAAATAGGCATTTTAAGGACTTGGTTTGGCTTTAGTATCCTCTGCAAATATTTTGTGTGACTGTTGCTGGTATGTCCTTTTGTTTCTAGGTTGCTGCTAACACTCCAAGTATGTACTCTCAGGAACTATTCCAGCTTTCTCAGTATCTTCAGGTAAAGTAAATCTTGAGATTTCTTTGTCTTTAAAAGCAGAACTTATATTTGATTTTGCTAGTTTGCAAACATGGGCTAAAGAAATATTGGCTACATACAAATACAAAGGAAATATCTTTTCAAAGTAAAAAAAAAGGAATTAAAAATAGTTCTTATAAAAAAATAGGATTTAAAAAGTCAGAATTGTTAAATCTGGAGAAGATAAGGTTCTATACAAGAGAAGTTTTTTTCCTTCAAATATGAAGAAGTTCCACAGTGTTTCTTTATTCAAAAGTGAGTTTTAAATAAAATTAAACCTGGAGAGATTTTGGTTGCTATTAATAGCTATAATAGCAAATAATATGAACTGTTAAAATATTAACTGGATTTCCCTGGTGGCTCAGATGGTAAAGAATCTGCCTGCAATGCAGGAGACCTGGGTTTGATCGCTGGGGTGAAAAGGACCCCTGGAGGAGGGCATGGCAACCCACTCTAGTACTCTTGTCTGGAGAACCCCCATGGACAGAGGAGCCTGGTGGGCTGCAGTCCATGGGGTTGCAAAGAGTCGGACATGGCTGAGTGATTCAGTACACAAAATATTAACTATTAATAGCAAATATATAGCGCTTACTATATGCCAGACTCTAGTCAAGCACTTGACCTATATTAATTCACCTAATCTTTACAAAAATCCTATAAAATACATATTTTATGCCCATTTTTATAGATGGACTTACTGAGGGACAGGAAGTTTAAATAATTTGCACAATATCACATACCTAGTATGTGAATGAGCTGGAACTTGAACAAAGACAAGTCAGACCTCAGAGTCTCTGCCCATAAATACTGTTCTGTGCCACTCAGGTTGTAGAAAGATTTCTTGACAGGACAGATACTTATTGTAGAATGGGCTCCTGAAGAAGTTAATACTTTAGTTAAAGAGCAATAGTAATCTCGAGAAAAAATATAAGTGATTATTCTTTTTTTTTTCTTGCTGATTTTGGTAGATTTCGACTGGATTATGGTTCTCTACCTATAGAACCGTGTGTGTGTGTGTATAAAGCATATCTATATATGCTGTTAATATCTGCTCTTAATATCTGAAGAGCATATCATAGAGAGCATGATTAAGGAAAACTCCGGATCAGGAGTGTAGAGATTGAGGTTTGTATCTTGATGCAGACTAAATTAGTTCTGTGACCTTGGGTGATTCATTTTACATATGTATGTCTTCACTTGCCTTTTGTTTAAAATGATAAGACCAAACCAGTGACCCTGGGTCCCTCCATTCTTTTATAGATCAATCACTAAGAGCAGTCCTACTGCAGTTAAAAATGTACACATATGTGAAAATTATCAGTGTATTAATCAGATCTTGTCTTCCCCTGGGCATAATGTAGTGGTGAATTGAAAAGCGGTTTCACACACTTTCAGGTTAGAGAACATAGACTGTATCCAGAATTCCCTGGATTTGATCTATGGCTTTAACTTTGGACCTGTTGAGAAAGTTGTTTAACTCTTGTGTGCCGCCTCACTTTCCTCATCTGTGATATATGTATAGTAGCACTTACATCACAAAATTGTAAAGAATAAATGAATTAAAACAGGGAATTCCCTGGGAGTCCAGTGGTTAGAACTCAGTGCTTTCACTGCTAAGGGCCCGAGTTTGATCACTAGTCGGGGAACTAAGATCCTCTAAGCCAAGAGGTGTGGCCAAAAGGAAAAAAAAAAACAAACATAAAAAGCACTTAGAACAATGTCTGGCATGTAGAACATATGCTATAAATGTTGGTAGTTGTTTACCATTCAGTAGGAAGTCACATTAATTGACCTAGCTCTCTCATTTTTAGAGGTAGAAGACCTTTTTTTTTTCACTTTCTCACCTCTCTTGTTATTTTATTTTTATTTGGAGGATAATTGCTTTACAGTATTGTGTTGGTTTCTGCTATACGACAACTTGAATCAGCCATACGTATACATACACCCTTCTCTCTTGAGCTTCCCTCCTGACCCCAGCCACCCACCCACCCACCCAATCCCTGTCGTCTGGGTTGTCACAGAGCACCAGACTGGGCCCTGGCAGCTTCCCACTCGCTCTCTGTTTTCACGTGACAGTGTATATATTTCACTGCTGCTCTCTCAGTTCATCCGACCCTCTCCTTCCCTCAGTGTCTACAGGTTCATTCTCTCTGTCTTGAGGTAGGAGAAACTTTTAGAGTAATCTGTTCTAACCTTCATTTTTCATATGAGAAATATGGGGCTTCTCTGGGTAAAATGATTTCCCAGGGCTATGTACTATAGTTACTAGTCATTGTCAACTGTGAATCTAATGCTATCATTCTAGCTCTCATTCTCATTTCTACCTTCTTGTCAGTTCTTTTAATATTCATAGTGGCATAATCTTTCACTGTTCTTTTTCTAATTCTTTGGGAGAAAATTATACTGGCTTGGCTTTTCTGTATACATCTCTTGGAATTGCTGAAGTTCTAATGTAAGTTGTAAACCTTTTGAATAAAAACTGAAATAGATACATTTCATGTCTCAGAACTAATCAACCATTCCTGGAAGTGTTAGATATCTGTTAGGATGTGGTTCATGGAGTTATGAAACTAAATGAAATTGAGTAAAATAGGTTAAATTACACCATCTAGTGGAAGTAGTGGTTGTTTGGTGGGTTTTTTGGGGGGGTGGGGAGGGGTTTGTTTTTTTTGAGTAAAACTTTTTGTATCGTTAGTGCAATTTCCTGGAATTAGGAATGTTTTAGAAGCTTAAAATAAACTTGGCACCTAGTCACTTTTAAGTGTAAGCTGTATTTTAATGTGGGTTCTGAGGTGGTATGACTTTTATTAGATTCCTTAATCTATACTTTCAGAGTTATATTGAAAAGCAGTTCCTCTAACTCTAATTAGACCAGATTTTCCCTAATCATGATTTATCAAGGATATAGACAGCAATAAATGCATGCTTTAAACCTCAAGTGCTATGTTTGAAGTATACACTTCTCAGTTGAAGTAGCTCAGAGGTATTAGGGTAGTAAATGTTCTTCTTTGGATAATGACAGGAATAGAAGAAAGTGAAATTTAAAGTTTTGCCGGAACCACAATTGAATGCTGTGTGAGCATTTTCACCTTGACTTGCAATAAAGGAGACCTTCTTAACAGCTATCGAATGTTAACAAGTGAGCTAGCGATAAGGCGCTGCTTGCCAGCTTCTTTCTCTGGAACAGTATTCCTTTGGAGCTGCCAAATAGTTATTTAACTCACTGACTCCCAATTACATTGAATTAACACTTGGCCTCTTACTTATATTTGACATGTTCAACTGTGCCTAAGTGTTATATGGTCACAGAGAGATGTAGAACACCTGAAATTGGAGTAGACTGTGAGGATAAAATAGTCTTTTAAAATATATATAACTTATAAAAAATTTTAAAGGAAAAATGAAGATACTTCTTTTTAGATGTCATACTCATGTGGCTAAGCCATTATGAAGTATTTTTGCTGCTGCTCGCTCTCTCTCTCTCTCTCTCTCTCTCTCTGTGTCTGTGTGTATAGATACACAGACACACACACATATACACACACATTTAAAAAATATATATATATATATAGAATGCAGACATATCATTTGTTGGATTTTTCTGTTCTAGGTTTTGTTCTTTTAAACTCATTCTTGTGAATTACAAATAAAGAAACAAAAACAGATGACCTGTTCCCTGTCACAGAGGAAGTTGCAGCGAGAGCACCCCTAACAGCACTGCTTACAGTACAGCTCAACAAATAGGCTAAAATGATCTGCGTGTGTGTGTGTGTATGCGTGTGTCCCTCTGCGCACTCAGTTGTGTCCTATTCTTTGCAACTCCATGGACTCTAGCCTGCCAGGCTCCTCTAACCATGGGATTTTCCAAGCAGGGATACTGGAGTGGGTTGCCATTTCCTTCTCCAGAGGATCTTCCTGACCCAGGGATTGAACCCGTGTCTCTTGCAGCTTCTGCCTTGGCAGGTGGATTCTTTACCACTGCATCATCTGGGTTAAAATAATGTGGGCTGAATATATTAAGTAGATTTATCAGGTTTGAAAGCAAGATACACTGTAGGATGTGAGACAAGGTTGTTTTCAGAATGTGCTAATAATTGATTATTTGTCAAAGGAATTGTGCTGAGGTTATTAGGATTTCTTTTGTGATTTATGATATTAGGAGGCCTTACATCGGGAACAGATGTTGGAACAGAAGTTAGCCACGCTACAGAGACTGCTAGCCATTACCCAAGAGGCTTCAGATACCAGTTGGCAGGTATTCCAGTTGCTTTTATATTCATAAAGCATTTAAGCACAGCTCAATATTCCTTAGATGGTTATTAAACTGAAACTAAAATTATGTAGCAGACAAAGGCAGAGTTATTTCTTAATGAACAAATATTGAACATTTAGCATTTTAAAGTGAATGTTGGTCAACTTTGTGATTTTTAGGCCTTTTTTTTTGGCAGCAGCAACCTTTTTCATGTATGTTATTTTTTAACTACTCTGGGATTTTATTTATATTTCATTTTTCTTTAACAGGCTTTAATAGATGAAGATAGACTCTTATCACGGTTAGAGGTTATGGGAAACCAGTTGCAAGCATGCTCCAAAGTAAGTATCCATTTCAAGTACCTAAAGAAAAATGCATTGGTTTTTATGTAGCTTCATTTCTTTGACTGTTATTTTGAATACATTAAAAAATATCTATACATTTTCACCATTTTTAAAATCTCTTACCATTACATGAAATTTCACACATACATGTAAGTAGAAAAAATTGTGTATAGTGAATACCCACATACAATTCTCTTTTTTCCATCATAGTTGATATTTGTTTGAGAAACTGGGTCTTTCACCCTGTACAGTTTCCCTCAATCTGGAATGATACTTCTTGTTCCTCCTCTACACCATAAATTTATACAGTCCATGGAATTCTCCAGGCCAGAATACTGGAGTGGTAGTGAGATATTAGTGATCTTTGATTATTCTTTCCAATATTCATTCTTTTATTTTGTAAAAATGGTAATACTGTAATTCTATCTTTCCTTCATTTACTAGATGCATTACTTCTATAAAGAGAAACTTCCCCTCATAAACCATTTTATTTTTCCTAAAGGACATTTTCTTTAGGAAGGGAAGGATGAGTGATTTTCTCCCTTTATTTACTGCATTTCAAAATCATGTTTTGGCTCCTTTTCATCTACCAAAGAATGACCAATGAAGTATTTTTTTCCTCCAAATGAGATTTAAATATATATCATGGGTTAAACCTGTTTTGTTTTTCTTATTGATTCCCAGTTCTCCCATCTTTGGGAGACCTTCTTCAGGGACCTTCTTCAGGTTCTCACCTGAGTTCTTCTGGTAGCCCCCTAGCAGACTTGGATAATAGCTTCCTGCTGTCATATCAGACAAGGTAGTCCAGACTCATCTTGTACATTTCTTCCCTTAGTTCCTCAGGGTACTCTTATTCCTTTTGGTTTAGTTATTGTTTTAAAATGCTTGACACCCTTTAGAGGTTAAGAGATTATTTTTGCCCGTAAGTGTAAATATTGTGGCTTTCAGAGAATATGGCAAGTATTAATAGTTCATTCATTTTGTATACTTGGGAGAAATTTTCTGTTTACTTTAACTTTTTTCTGTTGAAAGTATGAGTTAATATGCTTGTGAGAGCATAATTTACTAATGCAACTTTTATGTACAGCTTCAGTTAATACAGAGTTGACATAATTTCTGTTTGGAGGTACCTTAATATAGAACTCAGAGAATGTCACAATGTGTTATTTTTTTCAAATGGTAGATACTTAATAACTATAATTATCAATATTTTTTAATTCTAGAATCAAACAGAAGATAGTTTACGGAAGGAACTTATAGCATTACAGGAGGATAAACACAACTATGAGACTACAGCCAAAGAGTCCCTGAGGCGGGTTCTTCAGGAGAAAATTGATGTGGTTAGAAAACTTTCAGAAGTTGAGGTATTTCAACTTAATAGATACTGACCAAGACTATGGTTTTACAATTTTAGCCAAAAGTGCTAGCATTTCAAGACATTTCAAACTTGGGTATTAATATATAGCTAGGAAGTTTTTCCTGTCTTACCTGGTTGGAAGGAGCAGTATGCTGTTTTCATTTTAGGAATGCTTAGTGTAGCCACGTGAGTTCTGGTGCTTATCGCCCCTAGTCAGTGATTAAGGAAATAAAAGCCTAACCAGGGAATTTTACTATTTCTATTTTGGTTAGATTTCAACCTCCACACAGTGGACCATGATATGTGCCAGGGAATTGATCTCCTTTCATATAATTTTGTTTTTCTTCCGATTGAAGATAGTCGGTCTTAAGGCAGCGAGCTCCACCACTACTCTTACCTTCCCCATCCTCCAGAGAGGAAAATTGTGCCTGAAAAAAAAAAAAGAAGAAGAAGAAAATTGTGCCTGGAGAGGGTTACTGTTTCCTTCTCCAGGGGATCTTCCCAACCCCAAGATCAAACCTGGGTCTCCCGCATCACGGGCAGATACTTTACCGTCTGAGCCACCAGGGAAGCCCAGTCTCTATAATAACCCCAATCCCAAAGTGACTGATTCACTGTCAGATCATTAATATGATGTGCAAAGAAAGAAGAATGCTAATTGTCCTCTAATTTTGTTGATTGTGTGCGCATTATTAAATATGCTTTTAAGAAATGATAGGCTTAAAATATTTTCAGGGCCTAAAGTCATACCCCGTGACCTTTAAGAAGTGTGATTATATGAAGGATCAGCCTCTCCTCCTTCCACGTTTCATTTTTCCAAGTTCTTTGTATTTTCTGTTTTAGCATGTACCTGAAGTAGATTGAAATTCTTCTGTTATTTAACTCGACCTTATATAAAATCAAGAGTAGATTCTGATTTAGAACACTCCATAGATTTAGTTTGTATAAATTGAATTTAGAATGTGCATTTATTCTAAATCAGTTATCTGTAAACTTGAATTACAGCGAAGTCTTAGTAATACTGAAGATGAATGTACCCATCTGAAAGAAATGAATGAACGGACTCAGGAAGAATTAAGAGAATTAGCCAATAAATATAATGGAGCAGTTAATGAGATTAAAGATTTATCTGATAAATTAAAGGTATGTATTTCTCAAACTGGAACTATATAAATTAATCCCTAACATGCTGAATAGTAAGAATTTAGATATTGCTGAATAGCTGTTGATAGAAAATTTGGTAATGGTTTGAATATATAGTATAAATCAGTTGCCATTTAACCCAAATCCCATTACCAGTGATAATTAAAAGTTTGTAAAAGCTGACATATTTCCTTTGGATGAAAGTACATAATCAGTAGTTCATAATAGGCATTTTAAAATATATAACAGTAAATAGATAAGAGTCAGCAAAACCCAAGATACTCAGACTTTTGGAAAACTAGAACCTGCTTTTCTTTAAGGTGCCCCAAATTCAGGGCCCAGCTAAATTAGTGCTGGAGTAAACCCAGAGAGAACCCTCACGTGATTCCTTCCAGGAGGCCAAAGCCTATGCCTGGACTGCCGCTCCCTGTAACTGTCGGATATTTAGGATGAGGACGGACCAGACCACACATAATGCTATGTTGGTCCTGTAAAATGTTAGAAATGAGTTTGTGAAGACCCGTCTTTGTGTAATTCACACCACAGATTGCGTGGCCAGAAGATACCCATTTGTTAACAGAAGACCAGAGCATACCTCCTATTCATGTGAATGATTAACCTATATAGCTTTAAATATTAGACTTGTTAAAAAGAGGTCATTTTAAAAAGTGCTTGATTCCTTTAGCTAAAAGTAATTTTGTTTAAAATTTCAGAATAAGCTACATTGTAGAACTTACAAACTAATTGAAACAATAGTAATTTCAAGGAAAACCATATTTCCCTCTTGAAAAACGTGGTTTTCATTTTGACCTTTATAATCTATGTATGTATTGTGTTTGCTTCCTTGCTACAGGTTTTTCTCTCCGAGTTGATACAGAGGAATGACACAGTGCATATCACTTTTGACATCATTTATGTGAATACAAGGAGTCCTGCTTTAGACATCTTAAAACAAGGTCAGATTTTATTAAATAGCTGGATTTTCTTTTTCATTTTCAACAGATAGCAGAGGGAAAACAAGAAGAAATCCAACAGAAGGGACAAGCTGAGAAAAAAGAATTACAACATAAGATAGATGAAATGGAAGAAAAAGAACAGGAGCTTCAGGCAAAAATAGAAGCTTTGCAAGCTGATAATGACTTTACCAATGAAAGGCTAACAGCTTTACAAGGTAAGTTAGCTAATCCAGAAATTGATTTGATTTAATTTTTTCTTTCTTTTTATCTGTGAAATATCTTTTTCTTGGGCTTTTATTTACAGTACGGTTAGAACATCTTCAAGAGAAAACTCTTAAAGAATGCAGCAGCTTAGGTAGGTGTCACCAAATTTCTTACTTAAAGCTGAATTTTTATCATTAAATTTTTGTTTGCTATCTCACATTGTGTACTTGCTTTCTTTAAGAGGGATGTTTTACATATTAGGTGTAAAGTATCTACCCTCTTTCAGAAAATTTCCTTTAAAAATATGCTTGATTGCCACCAGTGGGCACCATTGTGTAGTCTTTGAAATGAATGAAATTTATACATCTGAGATGGTCTGCTTAGAGGTATTTAAATAAGAAAAATACATGAACAGCAGAATCCTTTTTCTTTTGAGGTTCATCGAAAGGTTACTAAGCAGTTGTAGCTTTTTCTCTAAGATGATAGAAAATGGCAAGTTGAACCCTTCTTGTAAAAATAAATTTAAACTGTTCAGTCAGTCTTAATGTCACTAGGAATACAAAATGCCATGGTTACACTTGAGACCAGTTTTAAAGTAATACTTTCTTTGATCAGGCAATGATACACTGTCTTAATCCTAGGGATACAAGTTGATGACTTCTTACCTAAAATAAATGGGAGCACAGAAAAAGGTAGTGTAAAAAACTTAAATATTTTTCTTTCATGATAGCCTTTTACCATTTAAGCAGGATAGAGAGGTCAGGGATTTTAGATTTTAAGTGTTTGGAGTGAAAAGCGTGCTGTTCATAGACTGTTAAATCCCATCTTTTAAAAATCAAGCTTCCTTTTATTTTGTAATTCTTAATTCTGTGAGCTGTGGTTAGATGTCCCTTGTTATATGGAAATTTCAGTTATTGAAATAGTAAGATTTTAATAATGTTCAATTTTAGTTTTGGTTTACCTAACATAGTATAGCTTCCCCTGCCCTCTACTCTATTTTCAAAGATGATACCACTATTTTCTTCTATCAAGTACTGCTTTATGGGGATAATTGGCCCCTGTTTTTTAATATTTGTGCCCTGCCCCCTTCCTGACCAAGAGTTTACTTAAAAGTCCAAAAAGAAACAAAAATAGAAAAGAAAAAAAAAAGTCCAGTGAGTCTTTGGATGTGTCATCAAAACTGCTCTCTTTATCTGTCTGTTTCATCAATCAGAGAAAAGGGAGTCAGTCATGTATACCATCTGAAAAATTATTTTGTTCTTGATATCTGATCCTTCTTTCTGGTTAGCTTGGGTTATCTCTTGCCACAAATGTATAACCACTGTTAGTTTTCCTACTGCAACATGGGTTTTCTACTCAATGGTTTCTATATTCCTTCAATCATGAAGATTTGTGCTCCCCTCCCCACTCATCCAGCATTAACTGAGCACCAGCTATATGCCAGATCCTGCATTAGATGCTTAGAGTACAAAATGAATAAAATTATTTTCTGTGTTTACAAATATATGTGCCTCTCAACTCAGTTTTTATGTATAGAAGATGCCAAGGTCAGTACCCAAAACTTCATACTAAATAGTTTTTCCATGTATCAGGGGATATCTTTATAATTCTTGGGTGGCATCTAAACTCTGATAAAGTTAGGAGGTGCTTTTCTTGGTTTGTTTTGGTTTGGTTGGTTTGTTTTTAATCAGGAAGTGGAATAATAGGCTCCAGGAACCATGTATATGTGAAGTGTAAGATCAAGAGCTAATATTCCATGTATAATAAATCTTGAAACTCTAAATTAAAAAAAAGTTTCATCAATCATTGTTATTTGACTATTTTATATATGCTTTGTGAAATAACATTGACACTATAAAATTTCAGTTTGAGTTTCAATTTGAGACTTTAAAGGTGTAGTTTATATTCATTGCACCATTATTATTAAAGTATATTTAGTAAACATATGTAAAAAGACTTTATCTTCATCTTCTAAAAGCTTCTCATTCTTAAGTGAATTTATATTTTCTGTTGTTATTTTGCTGTTTTTTCTCTTTCTGGCATATACTCTTCTCATTCAAATCCATCACCCTTTTGACTTGAGTGTGTATTTGTTGATAAAGCTAGTGTTAATTCAAGCTGGGAGCATTCTATTTCTTTAGTTAACAATCTTTTTATGTACACTGAACCATCTTTATGCTATTTAGAGTTGTCAAATTACAGCTTACAATTTTTTGCCAGTTCTAATTTATTTAAATGAGAAAAGCTGTAGACAACTCCTTGATTTAAAATTGAATAAGATATTAATATTTTGGATACCTTAGGGTACTCCTGGCTATGATTATTTTTCCCTTGCAGGTGTTAGTGCTAAATTGAGTTGTGTGTGAGTAGCTAATAGAATATTAAAGAAACTGAGTAGTAAATATCTGGATAAGCACAGAAGCTTCATATTTAGTTACAGAGTAGATTACAGATAAGATGGGTCTATTCTGAATCATTTATGATATAGTAAGAGACTAATTATCAAGTATTCAAATATTGTCAAAGTCTGTAGTTACAATGTGCTATTAGATATAATTGTAACTAAAATTACTCTTTAAGTAGTAGAGGGAGAACCAAGTTTGGTTGTAAGAGAATATTTCAAAAATGTCTGGAGAAGTTAAGATTAATAATACTTCTCCAGTAAACTCATCTTTAAGATTATTTAAATCTAAAGTATCTGCTATAAGCACAACTTTGTACTATAATTTTTAAAATGTTACCTAGTAAGCATATTTTGAATATATCTTAGATGGTATTTAGAAAAGTGCTGTCTAATAGAACTATCCTGAGTACTACATACATAATTTAAAAATTTCTGTATTAAAAATACAATAAAAAATAGCTAAATTGTTAATAATATATTTAATAATACGTTTACTTTAGCCCACTGTATCTAGAATATTATTTCAATATGTAGTCAATATTAAATGATTACAAATGAGTATTTCACGTTCTTTATTCCTTAGTAAGTTTTTGAGGCCTATAGATATTTAAGTTATGCTGACAACACATCTCAATTCAAACTAGCAACTTTTTTTAAGGACTCAGTAGTCACATGTGGCTAATGGCTGCTGTATTGGACAACACAGGTCTAAAAAATTGAAATACATAGGTAACCCATGTATAAATAAAACACATTTTGTCTTGTGATTCTTATTATGTTTCTGTGTCTACTTTTTCTTTGCATTCCTACAACCCTCTTTTAGTATCGCAGGACACCATCACCACACCTCCTGCCCCCGAACTTCAGTATCTGATTTCCTGACTCCTGGTTTAGATAGATGATCAGTGACATCTTTTATAGTCTTAGCAAAGTGAATTCCCTAGGGTTTGATTTCAAGTAATGAACTACTAAAAGTGTCATGATCCAAATCATTTACATGCACTACCTGAAAGACTTTTCTCCCATGTGTCTTAGGAAATAACCTTTGTGAAAGTCACATGTATATTTATCTTTTATATTAATCTTGTATTTTATCTAAACTAGTATAGTAGATATTTTAATGTAGAATCATATAGTAAGATCAGAGTAGGTAAAAAGTTTGATTTTTAGCTTGGTATGTGATGCTAGATTGTCCTGCATTCATAAATTTCATCTGAAGTCTTGTGATGCTAGTTTGAAACTCGGTTTCAAATATGTTTTGTACAGTCCTTTAGTTAGGCTAAAATTTAGTTTTACTGAGTTTTCATATTTAACAGTGATATTGTATAGTTTGAATTTTGAAAATGTTGTCATAGCTTACATAGGAAGTGCTTTTTTTATTTAACTTTAGATTTTTTTTAAATTTTGAATTTCTATTGCAGTTAGGCTTTTTTTCCTTCTTGAGGCTATATTATATCTATATTAATAATATAACTGTATGCAGCTATACAATTATATAAACTATATATAACTGTGTATTTTATATATATAAATAAATACATATGTGTATATATGTAAATAAATATATATATAAAAGAGCTGGCCTGACTTGGTGAGTGAACAACAACAACAAATAGAAAAATATATATTTGCATACCATGTAGCTAGATAAAGGATAATGAGAGATTTGATGGTGAATGATGATAAATAAGAAAGCTGTCAGTATAGAAGTCAGGAGAGGCTGTCCCGTGATCAGAGTCGGAGCTGCCTTTGCAGCAAAGTTGAGATGATGAGGTGAGGCCAGGTGAAGAGACGTCTGACTCACTGTCCTTGCCAGGTTTTTGTGCTTCTACACCGTCAAGATGGTCATCATGTTGGAATGTATTTTTAACACTTGAACTGCCAATGTCTGTTTGGTAGTTTTGAAAGATATAAATATGTACTTGAAGGATGTTATCCAGATTTAGAAGTTGGCTCTTTGAATCAAAGTAATTAAAAGTTTACTGTAGAAAAAGGGCTGAAACTTTTATTAGACTATGTTTGGTTTTGATTCTCTTTACATATTTGGGAGGAAAATGTATTTGATCTGAGCAAAATCATTTACCAAGATTCTTATTTTAAAATGTACAGGCATTGTTTTTAATCATTTAGGCAGAGGTAAACAATGTAGTGATTTGATAGTATATGAAGTATAGATTAAGTGACTCAAGAGGAAAGACTACTTGTGAAACGAAAGTGTAAAAATTAAAATATTGTATCAGTTTCTTTACAATTTTAAGGCATTATTTTATGGTATTCTTAAAATATTTACTTTTTTGCCTCTTACCTAAGATGAATAACTTTGAATAGGGACTGTTGGGGAACAGTCATTTGAAAACCAATTCAGTAAGAAATATAAAATTTTTAAATTAATGGTATTTATTAAGCTCACATGGAAAAAAGATGCATTTTGAAAGTGGGAGAAGCTTTCTAAAGCAATATATGACAATGGTGTTCTTGAGCTATTTGGATAGAAACTGCACCTTTAAAAGCTAACCATTTGGGGTACAAATTAAGATTACGTAATTACAGTTTTCACTCATTTAACTCCAAAATATGTCTGCTATTAGATATAGTAAAATTTGATTAACTTATTCAATTACCCATGTTAGTACAAACGTTTGGTTTTCCTACCTTTGCTGTTGGTTTTCAAAAACAGCAACAAAGACTATATCCTTAAAGGTGTTTCTTTCTTTATTAGAGCACTTGCTTTCAAAGAGTGGCGGGGACTGCACTTTTATTCATCAGTTCATAGAATGCCAAAGTGAGTACAGAGTATTTTTCACATTGATTTTAATTAAGTCAGGGTCTAAATTGAAAAATGAGAGGAAAAATGAAAATCTCCATGTGTTTGTTATGGTAGAAGTGCACAAAGGCCGTCTTCAGACAGCAGTGATTCTTTACGTACTGTTTCTGTTTCTTTCTTGTGAGAAAAGTGTTTCTCTTACATTTGCTTTCACAGATGGAGGTGAGCATTTCATGTTCCTCACAAAAAAAAAAGATCAAGTTTCAAGCTTTTTAATTAAAAATCATTATTGAATAGCGAATAAAATAGAATGTCAAGGAACTAAATGTCTGGCTGCTTAAGAGACAATAATAACGTTCACCTGTTTTACTAAAGTTCTACTCCTATCACAATTTTGGATTTTGAGTTCTTAGACAAATTTCTTAAACGATTAAATGATGTCACAAAAATAGTGATTTCATTTGGGCATTAGGATAGCAAGAACTTTCTAAGAGAAGTAGTAGTAATTGATTGTCCTTCAGTGTGACACCTACTGCCTACCCTGGAGAAGTTGTAGGAGGCTGATTTTAATAATATTTTAAAGATGAACTGATTGGCTTTTGAGGTGATCTAGACCTCTCCTGAATTCTGAACAAAAAAATTTGTGAAATCCCTCTTACTTGAAAATCATGTGACTGCTTAAATCTGTAACAATGACAAAGTTGTCTTATTCTCTTAGTTTCTTGGTAACAATTAAAGGTCACTATGTGTAGTAAAAATTTATTCATGAAATTTATACTTTTCTCTATCAGACTCACACTTTGTCAGACTCCTTTTTTTCTTCCTGTTTGCTCTTTCTCTTTGAAAGGAGTGGTTTTCCAAATATTTCTGAATTCAGTTGATGGGTGTGCACGCATGTATGGTTACTCTCCCACCCTCTGCTCCCACATCACCAATCTGAAGAGCATTCATGAAATGTTAAGAGTCACACCTGGTAATTATAGCAGGCACAAATTCAACAGATCAAATATTACACTCCTTAGAGTTGCTTTAGGGAAAAGTGAAATTTCATTGAATTGTTTTAGAAGAACTGCGTTTGTCCATTTTAGAGATTATAATATTGAATGTAAGCTTAATACAGCTTTGAGCCAGATTTTTAATAAATATGGCATATTTCTTTGTTCTTTAACAGTTTTTTCATGAAGCGAAGATTAGTGCATCTTTTTCTTACCTTCTGATTACTAAATCCCACTTTTATAGGCAGTTGACACTGGGATTTGGGCAAAATAATTGGTACCCCCCTGAAACCAACTAAAAGTAGAACATATGATCTAAAATATAAATCTTTAGGAGGATTTTATACTTAATTTTGTTACATGTGACCATTTTAAAATAAATTATTTTTATTTTCAACTTTTGGGATTCATATTTGAACCTAAAGAAATAAGAGCAGAGAATTATCAAAATAATGTTTACTAAGCTACAGTTGGCAAAAATAATTTAAAGTATTATTATAAAAGTATTATTATAAAATGTGTAAAATGTATAACTTTAGTTTTAACACAGAGCAGTGTTCGTTTTAAATAAAGAAAAAGATGTTTGGATATGTTTTATTGAGTCATAGTTATGGAGATAAACATTCAGATTGAACAGAAGTTATATAAATTCTGGATTACAGCTATCTCTTCCATGGGGATATCGGCCAGTAAGATTATGTTTACACAGAGTATGTAATGGCATGGGAAAATGCTAAATGCGGTAGGTACATAGAGGGGAAAATGAGAATATAAAACCCTGTTTTTGTGGACAAAGAATGAACCAAAGAACAGAAAAAATAAAATACGAGCATTCCTAGACATTTGAATCCACTCAGTTCTTAAGTATAAGAAGTTTGGGTTGTGAGTTCAGCTAGTTAGGGGTATAGCTTATTATCTGAATCCATTTGGTTTCTGAGTTTCCGTGGCAAGTAGCAAGAATTTGATTAATGAGAATGCCCATTGTACCTCAGATTTTCCAAATCTATTTGGCTCCTTAAATTTGGATAGCTGGAGCTGGCATTGTAAGGGTCACCTCTGGTTTGATTTGTTCTCATTTCCATTATGTTTTGACATTTTTATTGTTTGATGACAAGATGCCATTGTAGAAATTATTGTGTCATAATAAGTATTATACGAGCAAAGCAAATTCAGCAAAAATCTTACTCAAGTGAACTTGTGAAACAATTTTGGATCATTTTTTTACAAGCACACATAACCTTTTTTGCCATTATTTTCTTTAATAGGCATCCTGAACTGATTTATAGTCTTGAACAAGAAGCATTTATTCTGTGAGCAGTAATACTTTATATTCTTGTTTCCAGTCTTTTAAAAAGTGAATATTAAGAACCTGGCTTTAATTATTTACTGTGCTTGTATCCTGTAAATTCACTTGATGTTTTAAAAATTAGAAAGCAAAAAATAAATAAATAAAAATTAGAAAGCTAATAGTTTAGTTTCGTAGGGGTTATCATGCCTATTTTAAACATATTGACAAGTTTTTTTCAGTTTATGTGTATGACTCCATAAGAGAACAATTTGATTGTTGGCTCTCTCTGTTTATAAGGTGATTTTGAGGAAATTAAATGAGTCAAAACACACTTCAATTTGTTTTCCTTTTATGGTAAAACAGACTGTGCTCCTTTTAATTCTGTTGTAGGAGAAAAGCTTTTAATCTCCAGCACAGAGATTGGATTTTGGACAGATTTAAATATAACCTTTTGCATAATTCCAGAACTGTGAAGTAAAATTTCAGTATAAAAATACATCATAGAAAATCTAGGATAAGTAACGTTAGTAAAACTTGCTATAAAGTTCTAGCAAAGTCTCTTCTTCAGAGATGGAGGCGTGAAGTTTGGTTTAAGCAGAACTCCACATTCCATGTCCCTCAAGGTTTACCATATAAACTTGTATGAATACATTGAGAGCTCTGTGTGCTTGCCAAACATGCTTTCTGGGTTAAAAATACACATCCTGTGAATTCTGCTGCGTGATTAGCTCGTGTGCTTAGTGAGAGGATGGAAGGTGAAAGGTAAGCTAGGGATGTAGAGACTCGCCATCAGCTGGTGGGCATGAAGTGAAAAACAGCCTTCTCTGGACTGCTGCCTGCCTCTTTGATTTCTCTTGCTACTGTTTGTCACAGCAGCTGGATGCCAGAGAAACTTTGCTGAGATCTGCTTTATGGAGACAAACTGCCCCTTCCCCACAAAGACATCTCCGTTTTGATGATGGAGTTAGAAGTCCCACGAAATAAGCCTCATGTCTTTGTATTCTTAAAGAATGCTTTCTATATGACTTAGTAGTTTTTCTTTTTCCTTTCCTTTTTTAAATTTATTTTTTGGCCGTGCCTCTTGGCATGTGAAGTCTTAGTTCCCCAACCAGGGATCAAACCTGCACCTCCTACATTGGAAGCATGGTCTTACCACTATACTGAAAGGGAAGTCCCAATAGTTTTTACATTGTTAGGCAAAAGTCATTCTCTTAATATTTCATAGTTTATTTCTACTATTTCTACTTGTTTATTTCCTAATTTAAAAAGTTTTTTTCCCCCTCCTTGCCTCCCATCCCATTTTGACATTGCAGTCACAATCTGTGTATGATTTTCTCATTCCATCCTCCTTTCTCTTAGGGCTTTGCTTTGACTCAGAAATTGCCTTATTTGGAGTAATGCTTTGAATCTCTGATGCTCATGTGATTGTTTACTTTTCATCACTCTATGATATCAGCCTCTCTGAACAATTTCAGGCTTATTCTGATTGCATATTGTACTTGAAACAGTTTTAAATTTTCATCTTTTAAACTGTTGTTTCTTTAAGCCAAAGCAGTTTATTTATGATAAAGAATAGAAAACACTTGGTGTGGTTCCCTGCTCTTATTAGTTAATGTTCCCATTACAGGAAAGTCTTGAGTTTAAACTAGCTCATTTTTTATTTCTTTGTTCTCAGAGTAGTTGTTCAATTTAAGATATATTGGAAGGTTTTTATTTGTTGTTTACTTGTACCAACCATTTCCCTAGTCAGCCAGCTTTCCAATATTTCTGCCAGATTTTCTCTATATAAGTGCACAGAAGATAGTCTTAAATTCATGCCAGTAATGTTTTGATACATAGACTGTTCCTTTAAAAAAAAAAATCTGTTTCTGTATTCTTGAAATTGGCTCATTTAATTTTAAATCTATTCTTGAATTTCAATCTTCTTTCCTCTTTTTTTCTTTATTCTTAGGTTTTAAGACCAATAGCTTTTAGAACTGTTTTTATAGAAAGTCAGACTATCTTCTTACAATGGGACTTGCTTTAAGTAGTTTTATTTTTCTGCAGAAAGTAATAACCTTGTGAAAGTCTGTATTATTAAAATTTGCAACCTCTCAGAAACAGTCTTTGCAGTAATAATAAACCTTTCTTTCTACTATGTGAGCTGCTATTCTCTGAAGGGAAATAAATTGTCAGCTTGATGTTGAATGCTATTTGTTAATTTTTACATTCTTTTAAAAAAATACTTATTTATTTGGCTGCCTTGGGTCTTAGTTGTAGTGGGCAAGCTCAGTAGTTGTTCCATATAGGCTCTGGAGCACGTGGATTTTAGTTGCTCTGTGTGGGATTTTAATTCCCCTACCAGGGATCAAACGCGAGTCCCATTATTGCAAGGTGGATTCTTAACCATTGGACCACCAGAGAAGTCCCCTGGTTACATCTTGATGTTAATTCTAATCTCAGTTCCTTAGCTGCATTTCCCTTTATTGACCTTCTAGGTAACTTTAGCTCATTTTTATCTGTGATGTTTAGAGTTGGATCAAAGGAACATTTATGTGAATTCTGATTTGATCCCTCATTGGCAATATGATTGTGGGTGCTATGATCTTTTCAAACTTCAGTTTCCTCTTTTATAAAATGGGATGGTAGTACCTATTTCATAGGATTATGAGAAATGAGACTGTTTTTACTAAGTGCTCTAAGTAATGCCTGATATGCAGAAATACATGTTACCTAGAAGGTAGAAAACCTACTAG